GCTTAAGAACTTATGTATTTAGACGCTGCTGTAGGCATGGCATAAGAAGGAACCTTTCAGCCATAGTCACACTTTTTAATCCGAGCATTGCTTGTTAGCTTAGTAGCATTATGTGTAGATAGATTCAATATAAAACTTGAAACTTGAAGCAGATTTTTAGGTTTATGCAGCATAACCACAGCTTTGAATGATGGGGCGAATGGGACTGGAGAGTCTCTATCTAAGCGTCTCCAAGCTCCGTACTAATTTCTGCCAGAAGCTAGAACTCTCATCAGATTATGCAACGGCGGGAAGCTCAGGAATATTTTTTTGCTGTAGACCAATCTAAATTGAAGCTTAAAGTCTTACATATAAAATTCTATTGCAGCCCATAGCAATACACATATCAATACATAAAAAACAATTTCGGTCTCACTATATGTATTTCTATGGAGCTTTCTTGCATATCTATAGCTTCCACTCTAGTCTAAAAATAATGCAGAAATCTAACTGAATAACTGCTTAACAAATCTATAAACTTGAAGGTGACAAAGCAGATTATCAAACGCAGCTAAGGCCTAATCTAGGCGTGGCTAGCTAAGCGAAATCAATATCAAGCAGAGTTTTACAGCGAGAGTTAACAAATGTTCCAGAGAAGGACAGGCTAATGAGCTCTTCCATAGATTATTGCCTGACTTGAGAACTTTCCGAAGACGCTTAAGCGCGTATCTCTCAGTCAGTTGCAAACTACTTTTATAATTTCTCTCATATGTTAACACAGTTATTTTTACCTCTTGTCATACGAATCGCTATATTCTATATAAAGTTCTGACAGCACTGTGAAAGGTAAGAAACAGCCATAAATAAACAGATTAACATATCAAATTTTAACTGTAAAAATCTATAGAAAATACACCCATATTGAGATCAAATATATCGCAGTATATTCTTATTATAATCAAAGCATATCGCCACAAGTCAAGTTCTCTCCATTTGTTTTTCGTTAAATTTTATTTATTGTAACTCATTGACCTCTCGCTTAAGTCAAGCTTCGAATTGGAATTTGTTGCTCGCTTGCTTTTGTTGTTGTTATACTTTTGTATATATATATATTATATATAGATATACGTATTGTATTTTGTATTTTGCATACCAAATGAATTTTTGACGTCAGTGCAAATGCAGTGCACATAAAACAAAAAAATAACAGCACAAATTGCATGGAATGTGTCCATGGTTAATGATATTGCACAGATGATTTACTACTAATGGCAGGGTGTACTCTAAAGGGAGGGGAAAATATAATCTTAAATTAGTTAAACAACTAATTGGAAAGAGCCTTTATGAAATGCGTTAAACTGTTACGTTGCCTACAAGTTATTTATATTTCGATAGGGTATTCCCTTAAAGCAACTCGCTTCGTATATACTGATTTATAATATTAGTGGCATTCCCACCAACAAAAAAAAAGTACTTTTTTGTATATATTACACATTCTAGATAAAAAGCTTTTGATATAAGCAAAAAACTTTTTAACTTCCTTAAATATAACATATATATAAATGACATTCCCTCTAAAAAATCTTTATATATTGGCAAAAACGGAATCTATGCCTGTGCTAAATTAGTTATATTTAAGTTTGAAGAATTCTAAAATATAGCATTATATATATATTAAGTTAATGGTATTCCCTCTAAAAAAGCTTTCAGTATAACAGTAAAATGCTTAGGTTTCAATTCGCTCTTCTTCAAATGGGCAATAAAAATACTTCTCTAATCATTTGACACATTATTTATAACTGTGCTGTTATCGATAACTGTTACGTTTATATTCGAATTTGCACTTTTACTAAAGCCTATTTGGTTTCTTATCTTATTATCTTATCATCTCAAAGAAAATATTTAATATACATAATAATCTAGCCTAAACTCTGCAATCTTAAGCTACGTTATTATCGATAACTGCGATGATTGTAATATTACTTGATCTTTAATATCTTTTGATTTAAGCAGAAACTTAATTTTTTTATTAATTTTTATAAGTGGCTAATAAATCAAAAAACTCGAACATTAATGATATTTCCATTGAATTTTCTGATTTAACATCAGAAATAAAATGATCCATCGCTGATGGAATTAATATTAACTGGCACTTTATCTATAAACAATATTCATATAGACACAAAAAGCCATAAAGGAAACGTTTGAAATGAGCCAACGGGTTCGCAGCAATCGATTATCAGTTAACGGTATCTGCCTGTATCTTATCAAGAGCGATATCGATTTGAGCCAGAGCAAATGCCACGCGATTAGTCAGAGAGCGTGGAGAGGCCCCAATAAAGACAAATCTGATGTGGCATGTGATTTAAGACATGAATAACATTTCGATTACCTGGCAACTGGCTAAATTACGACATAGGGCAGACAGATGGATTTATTCCTCTATCTGTGTACCATGTATACAGATGCGGTCTGTACGTATATATATATATACTATATATTTAGATATGGTGTGGAGTGTATATATACATTGAACATTGCACAAACAAATCGAATCAAACAAAAGCCCGCCAAATGTTTATATTTTTTAGCCATGCCAAGAATACAAAGCACATTTCCACTTCTTTTTTGATGCCCGCTCGACATGTGGAAAACGAGCATTTTGGTTGCTGCTAAATGTTCGTATTTGTATACAACTGTGTACAGGCTTAAAATTGGGCATATGGACTTCTGCTCTGACACTGCAAGAGCAGGTGAAACTAGAGAGCACAGCTACTGACAAACCTATGAGCTATAGAGATCTATATGATAGTAGACCAGTAGATCTATTTGATACCGGCGGAACTCCGAAGTGTGCCAACAATGTACCTGTTTTGACACTAAAAGCAAGTATTTCGCAGTCGTTTACGCCCGCCTGCAGCATTCTAAATTGCTGTTATTTCTTGTTGTATTTGGCTCGCTTTTTGCTCTTTGAGGTCGATCAATAAAAAGCACAGGAAACACATACATTTGGTAGCATTTAAAAATAGCTAGCTATTAAATTGAAGGCAACTATCCCAAAGGACTCGGGACTAAGCACTTGCCACTTAGCACTTGGCCCTGAGAACTCGGTGGACGGGGACTCACCTTCTCGGCAAACTCCTCGCGCGGACGCCGTGAAATTGTGGGCGCATTCATGAGCTCCTTCGTGGGCGATGGTGTCATTGTTAATAATTTTCTATTTTCCGTTTCCTTTCACTTTCACTTTTTACTTTTTCTCTTTTTTTTTGTAATTTTAGCACTCAGGTTATTGAGTGCAATTTTAATTCTTATTGCTGATGTTTAATTTGTATTATTGCTTTTAGTTACACTTTGCTACAAGGCGTTCAATTGAATTGAGAGCTGTTAGAAGAATAATTTCATTTACAGTAGTCGCTCGCTAAAGGCAACTTTCAGGCATTCAAATTGCACCAAAAAATTTGATGCTTTATTTTTAATTAAATTATAGGTTTATTTTATAAATAAACATATAATATATATATATATATATATATATATATATATATATATATATATATATATATATGTTTACTATATATATTTTTTTAAAAATATTAAAATATTATTAAAATATTCCAATTGGCACACTTTTTTAACATTATCATCTTTAGGGTTTTTTGCTTCAAGCAAATTATTGCGTAGTCGGTTAAAAATGTCGCTAACGTATTTTTTTAATTATGTATATATATATATATAAATATATATTATTGACATTTTAATTATGGCCTTCGTGCTAGTGCTGGTGTGACGTGTACCGTTAGTTCTTTTTTCACCGTGTTTTCATAATTATTTTTAGTGCACAAATCATTCGATATCGAAACCCGACGCCGGCCGGCTTAATGCCAATTGGAGTCGAATTCGTTTTGGACACTCACGACCTTCAGCTTGAATTTTTTGCCATTCTAATTGGGAAGTCAATTGGTTAAGCGTCGTTTTTTTTTGTTTTTTGGTATTTCTTGTTGTAATTGTGGCCTGCAGCAGCGGCAAAAGGGCCGGCAACGTCATCAGCGACCAAGCGCAACAGTTTGTTGAAGGCGAAATGCTTACACACACAGGCACACAGGGAGAGCACACACACACAGCCTCACTAGCACAGTCACACACAATTACACACACGGCACACACGCACACCGGTTAAACTTGTTATCGCGGCAGCATGCAAAAGAACCTAAAACTCTGGGCCACAAACGAGTTCTGGAGCGGCACCAGCAACAACAACAAGAAGCACCCAGCACCAACACAACAAAACTTTATTTTGATACATGCTGCCTCTTGTTGTTTAGTTTAATTAAAGTTTTATTTTAGAAGGAAGAAAAAAAGGGGAACCCTTAAGCACTAGGCCTGGGCACTTTGGTCCAGGCCAAGTGCCTGTTGCTTGGAAATTTACTTTAAATTAAAAACAAACGAAAGTAAATCAACAACAAAAATGAAACGAAAACACGACGCGACCGTCCGCCAACGCGCTGCAGCTTCAAACACTTCAAAAGGCGAGCAACAACTAACAGCCGGGTCCAGGGCCGGCAGTTATAACTGCCGCTTCACATTCAAAAGCCAGAGGGAGTAAAGCAAGAGAACAACAAATGAGTCGAACATGGCGAACTATGAACACTCTAAGAATTATGATTACTATATAAGTGAACTAAGTTTATATACGAGTTTAGCCAATATGCAAAACCTATCAACAATTATTATATATTTTCAGAAATTACAATAGAATATGATTATTAATTTTTAATAATACATATAATCAAACAAGCATAAGTTCAAAGCGTTACATATTCACAGTTCACAGCGTATTGACTATTCCAGTAGGGTATAAAGAGCGCATGCTCAAAGAGCGTAAAAGCGAGAGCGTAGCCCATTCACACTGGTTAAGCAAGTGCTGCACAGTGAACGAAAACGCTTAAGATGAAAAACTAAACAGATTATCAATATATAAATACAGAAAAACCAAAATCTAGTTTAATATATATGATCAGGTTCGTTTATTTAGCGTTTTACAAAAAAATGCATAAATATTGAGAATTGGCTACAAGAAACTACGCTATGCGAGAGTGATCTGTTTTAATTGGCACTAATACATAAGTAATATGGTAATATACTAATATCGCTAATCGTTTATCGTTATTGTTATTGTTATTGTTATTGTTAAGCGATTGTTATTGCATTCTCCACTGTGCGTATTTGCGTTTGCAGCTCCTGAATGTGCTGTTCGAACTTTTGAATGTCGCCTGTTATTTGCTGCAGACTGATTAGCACATTCTTCATCTTCTCACTGTCAATCTGGACCTCCAGCTCGCGTATCTCTTTACTAACGCTGCCCGTGTTCGAGACACACTCGACCAGCTCGCTACAATGCCCATGTAGCTGTGCGAGCAACTTGTATGCCTTCTTTGCGTGCAGATCATGTTTGGCGCTCTGGAAGAGCAAATCATCTGTGTAGTTGAATTGACGTTCCAGCTGCGCTGCAACCACATTGAGCTGCTTCTGCAGCTGCCGTGTGTCGTCGAGCACTCGGAAGATGTCCTCACGCTGCTTGCGTATATTTCCAATGAATTCGTGAATGCGTCGAGTGTATTCCTTGCGCGGCGCCAGCTGCGTTTGTGTGGCACTGCGCAGGGTCAGTTCGTTGTGCAGCTGTGTTCTGGCCAGCAGTTCTTGCTCCAGCTGTTCAATGTCCAGGCGCACACGCTGCACTTGCTGCGTTTCCTTCGCTGACTTAAGGCTTTCTAGAGTTTTCAGTAGGGGATTACGATAGTCTTCCCACTGTTGCGTCAACGTCTGTCGCTTCGCTTTTGTTGCTTGCAGCAGCGCTTCGAGCTTGGCCACGTTTTGCTCCGGCTCCGCCAGCACCAGGGAACTGCGCTCGTGCAGCTTTGCCACAGCTTGCAAACGCTCTAGATCCAGCTCGGCTGCAGATTCCCGGGCCTTTAATGCAGCGATGCAGTTGCTCAACGTCTTGCGCTGCTTTAACAATAGTTCGGATTGCGACCGCAGCTGCTGCACTTCATCCGTCAGCTGCTGCACTGGGGTTGCCGCCGTCTCCGCACTGTTTGTCACTTGCTTCTCAACTGGCAGCGGAGCAGGACTAGGTGCCACCTCCTCCACCTCCTCTTTTGTCGGCATAGCCATCACAGCCTTTGGAACCTGCTCCCCGCAGCGTTCCAAATCATTTTTGTGCAGCACCGAGGCAATGAGATCGAAAGCGCTGCCATCCACTTGTTGGAATAGATTGGGCGCCAGCTGTTCGAAATATTGTTGCACTTCCTTGCTACGGTCCAAGAAATTGGCTCCAGGCACATTTAGATTAAGGTGTGGTTTGAACTCAATGCACTGGCAGCTGCATCCTTGCCTCCTTCTATTCGCCACAGTGCGGCAATACTGAGGCACCCAAGGCGATTTCAATTGCTCCGAAAGCTGCCTACGCACTTCCCGCTGCAGTTGCTCTCGGGCACTTAGGGAATGGGACTTATCGGATAAATCTAATTGTTGTCGCTCGCGTGGCAGACGCTCAATTAAATGCATTAGCAGGCGACGCAGCTCCACGGCGTTGGGGTAGAGAAATATCTGGTAGCCAATATCACCACGATAACCCTGGTCCTTGCAGCGCTCAGCCAATGTAGTTGCCACACTGAAACGCTGAGCCATAGCTCCACCTGGCAAGAATCGTGGCAGCTCCTGCATCGAAGGATTGATTTCCAGCAAACAGCTAGAAACGGCACGTACTACCTGTTCCGGTGTGAAATTTGCCAATTGATCCGTGGGCTCGATGCTGTCATCGATTTGCTGCAGCTGGTGCATAATTATTTTATCCACTTCGTCCATTATTGTATTTATTTACGTTTATTTTGGCATTTTAGTTAAATTAGTTTATTTTTCGATAGCCAGCAGGTAGTTATCGATAATATTAACTAAAATTAGACATTCACTACGAAGCACAGAGAATGAAATACTAATTGCATATTTTACAGCACTGCACATTGGCGGTTAAATTTAAAAACGAAACTATTTTCAACTCTAAATGCATTACTGAAAGCGGGGTAAGATTAAAGAAGTTTACTGAAGAAAAAAGAAGTACACAAATTGGGGAAGTGGGTTACAGTTGACAAATATTGTTTTCCAACTTGTCCAATATTTTATTATCATCTGGTTTTTGGATCAAGTGAAATTTATACATATATGTTTTGCTATCGGCGTTTATCCATTTTGTTGTTTTTCATTTTTTTGTTTAGTTATTGTTTGCCACCCAGACATGGTAGAATATTAAATGACATCTGGCCACGGAGCATTTACAATTTATATACATTTGCGAGAACATAGAGAATAGATATATAGAGATATAGAGTTATATATATATATATATATATATGTATAAATATATATATAGATATATATATAAATATATATACATATATAGATATACAGACTGCAGAGACTGAACTAGACCGATGGCAGATCAAATGATTATATATATATGTATATATATACACATATATATATATACAGAGTTGTTCTATATTCTAGTCGTTGTTGTTTGCCTTTTTGATTATGATGTTTAACGCCAAATTTCCATCCTCAGAAAACAGTTCCACCGTTGATTTGTTGAGTACCAGAAAATCGGCATTTGTGTAGGTTACGAAACTTTCGCGTATAGAGCGTGGCTTGGACTTCCATTTGAGAGTGCGATTGTTGGCCTCCAACGAAATCAGATAGTCAAAGTCGGCCGCATCGCGCATTGTGCCGATCATGCGACAGGCGGCGAAATATTGCTGGCAGCCCTCGCCCAATTGCACCTTCTCTAGCGACAGCAGAAAATGGCGGCCGTGACACGACTGTATCATCGTCCAATCGAGTGCGCCCACCTGATTGACATTGGTAGCCAGAAAAATGATGTCGGTGCCTTCCATTGTGATCACATTCTGATGCGTACTAACAAAATGCTTGTACACATCCTTCAGGGCACCTTGCCAAACGCACTTCTCATCCGGATAGGGGCAGAAATATGGACGAAACTCGCAGTCTTCCTCGTGTGATTTCTTATCAGAATACGAGAGACGCGCTCGACAACCATAGCAGGCGTGCTTACAGGGAAATATCAACTTTGAGCCCACCTTCTCCATCGCCAAATTTCGTATGTTGCTCATCGGAACACGACAGACGGGACAGACACTTAGCTTATTTCGGCACTGTGAGCAAATGAGGTGACCTCGCGAGCATTGCATTATCGGTGGCATCATATAGCCAAAGCAAACGGGACATTCCAAAAGAGAGACCAGAAATTCTCTCGTTGCCGTCTCAGATGGCTTTTCGCAGTCGCTGCTGCCGCCGCTGCAGCTGCTGCTGCTACTGTTGTTGCTGCTGCTGCTATTGCTGTTGCTGCTGGTGCTGTTGCTGGCATTGGTGTTGTTGTTGCTGCTGCTGCTATCGATCTGGTCGAGCGGCGACGTCGCCTCTTGCTCCTGGTTGCTGTTGTCCTTGGGCAGCGCAACAGTTGCTGCCTGTGAGGCATCCGTGGCAGGACGCTGACGACGTTGCTGCATAATTTGTCTTCGATTGTCCCTCTAAAATATATATATATATATATATTTATAGATATATATATAAATATATATATATATATATATATATATATTATGTGTGTGTGTGTCAGAGAGTGTATGTGTGTGTATGCTTATGTATATAAGTGTAATTGTGTGTGCATTTGTCTGTATGTATGTGTCTGTATGTCTGTATGTGTGTATGTGTGTGTATGTGTATGTGTGTATGTGTATGTGTGTGTGTGTATGTGTGTGTGTGTGTGTGTGTATGTGTGTGTGTATGTGTGTGTGTGTGTATGTGTGTGTGTATGTGTGTGTGTATGTGTGTGTGTGTGTGGGAGTATCGGCTTGTATGTGTGTGTTTATTCGTTAGACTAAAAGTGGAAGCACTTTATAATTTAGCGCGGCGCGATTAGTACATGCGTTACGGTATTTTCGTATGCCTATCTACCGAAAAATGAGGCGGGGTATTTGGGGGATGAGGCGGGGGTCTTTAAAAAATAAAATCGAAAGTTTCAGAGTTAATTTTTCGTACGCTTGGCAATTTAGTTCTGTTAAAAAAATTATATTGGAATTCAAGAAAACTAAAATTTGTTCGTCTGATTTGTGGCAATGGATTCATGGAAATGGCCTGGCCTGCTCTAATCAAATGTCATTGTTTTCCTGTCCCACCTCACACACTCCCACAGCAAACAAGGATCATGATCATGAAAGTGTTTCCAAAGGAAACAACTAAGGGACAACTACAATTAAAGGAAACAAAAAAGAAAGTATCAGATACTGACAAGTGAAGAACTAGAACTGGCTAGAAGTTCGAATCCCAGCCTAAGGTATCTAAGTGGAGCATTGCCTAAGCCGAAGGCACGCTGACGCTACCCGACGATTGGGGCATGGAGGGAGGAGCTGACCAAGAATTGGAAAATATATATATTCATTTATGATAAGTAATTAACTTTTGAAATACACCTCGTCTACTCCACAATTTCTTTTAAGAACAATTTGTATAGAAGATATCAAGGAGAGGCATCCCAGCAGTATAAGAAAGGAGACACAATTTTCGAATTAAGAAAAGCTTTAGTATGAATCAGACATATAGACAAGGTTAATGAATGTGAAAGTTAAATAATATAAGAAATTTAGGCAGTGTAAACTAAAGTTGTGCAAGTTATTCTCATAGAAAATGTGAAAATATCCAAGCCCCGTCTTAAAATCTTAACATCTGCCTACTACATCATGTAGATATACAGTTCAAATTTTAGCTATAGTTCTTATAGTTCTTACTTACCTTAAAATAACGTGCTAAGCATTACAATTTTAGCAATTTCTAAATGTTAAAAGTTAAGTAAAATAAATTGAAATTATGTACATTATCCACATTTTAAGTAACTTATATAGGCAGTCTTTACTGTAACTGGCTGTCAGCATATTACAGTTAGAACTTTTGTTTAATGTATTGCTTTCATTTCATTGATAAAAATTTACAACTTTTTTTACTAATCACGTTTATTTTTCTTCTGTAGTTGTCGCATTTGTGTGTGTGTATTTGAGTGTGTGTGTGTGTGTGTGTTTCATTTTGTTATTAAAACTAAATACATTGCAGTTGCATGATCAAGCAGTAAAAGTTTGGGCAGAAACCAGTTCATTCACAACTTCCAATTGCAATTCAGAGACAACAAAAATTCAACTTGTACGGGAGATCGATCTAAATTATATAAAATTTAAACATATTAGATTGCTTTTCTTTTTTACTGTCTTTTTTGTATGTGGAGAGGGGGCACACTGTAATTGTTATTGTTATAAAAGAAAACGTTGCGTGTGTGTGTAGGTGTAGGTGTAGGTGTCTGTGTTTTACGTTTCGTTTTGGCATGAACAAAAATTGTCGCAATCGCTTACAACTCTCGAGTTATTACATATTTATATTTTTATTATTTATGTATATATATATACATATATATATTTTTATTTTGTTTTATTCTTGTTAATTTCGTTAAAAGTGATGTTTACTTTTATAGCATTTACAAGTATTTCTCTTTTGTTTTTATTTTTGTATAAAATAATTTACATTAACTAAACTTAGGCTGCATAGTGTAAATGTGTGTGTGTTTATGTGTGTGTTTGTGTGTATTGGTATGTATTTGTGGATGTATGGATGATGTATGAATGCTATGGATGTACGTTCTGTGTTGGCTGTTTGTGTGTTCGCTCGTCTTACAAACTAAAATTAAACTAAGAAAAAACCCACAAAAAAATCTTATTAAATCGATCTTGAATATATATATATTTAAATGTGTGTGTTTGTGTTTTCTTTCTTTTGTTTCACTCTTTCTTCCTTTTTTGTTTTTGGAAAAAAGAATACCCTAGAATCTAGCAATTAAGAGACTGACACTGAAACAGACAGACCTGACCTGACCTAACCGACCTTACTACATACATACATACATACATACGTACATACATGACATGATGTAAACTGATGATGTACCAATGATGTCGCACATACATAACATGTTCTTGTATAATTATATCGAGTTAATAATCGTTTTAGAAACGATTCATATTCCATATTCATTCATCTTAGTTACTCTAGTACCCAACAGACGCCACACATCTTAGACGAGAGATATGGTTACATTGATGCCCAGATTCCCATTCTCGGCAAACAGTTGCGCAATCGATGTATCAAACACCAGACAATCCGAATTGTGTATAGCAGAGGCAACACCTTCGTGTATGGAACGCGGCATTGCCTCCCAGGTGAGGCGGCGTCGATTGCCATTTAATTCCAGTCGATAGACAAAGTTCTCAGCCTCCTTCCGCGAGCCAATCAGTTGGACGATGGCAAAGAACTGTTGATGTCCATCATATTTCTCTTGCTTCTCCAGCACGAGCATGAAATGATGGCCGAAGCAGGACTGCATCATAACCCAGTCGACGGCGCCGGGCAGATTGATATCGGTGGCCAGAAATACAATATCTTCGCCCTGCAGCGTGGTAATGCTCTTGTGGGACATCATCAGATGCTGCATGACTAGATCGAGCGGTCCCTGCCATTTACATGAGGCGCCCGGACAGGGACAAAGGTATGGCCGGCATTCGCAGGTCTCCTCGTGCTCGGTCTTCTCTGTATAAACGAGTGAGGCTGTGCAGCCGTAGCCCGAATGTTTGCACGGAAATTTCACATTGGAGGCGACCTTTTCCATGGCCAGATTGCGTATGTTGGCCAACGGGCCACGGCATGTGGGGCAGCATGTGAGCTTTGATCGGCACGATACGCAGACCAAATGCCCACTCGAGCATTGCAATATCGGTGGCAGCACATAATCGAAGCAAACGGGACATTCGAACAGTGATGTCAGATCGGCGGACATGCCTGCATCACCGCCACCGGCGGACGACAGTGAAGAGCTGGATGAGGACGATGTGTTTGCTGATGATGTATTCCCAGCACTGGAGCCGGTCGAGCTGCTCGTGTTGGTGGCCACCACTGCCGTGGCTGCTGCTACTGCTGCTGCTGCTGTCGGTTCACGGCGTTTTGGATTGATTTTATTTGACATTGGACTTGCTTGCTTGCTCTATCTACCAGATGGGTCTGCCTCCACTTCAAATGCCAGTGCAAAAGCAACTGCAGCAATTGCGACGACCCGACGAATCCAGTCAATCGAAGTCTTCTAACGTCACCTGCCTCTGGGTCACTGCAATGGGATAGGTAATAACAAATGTGTCATATTAATTACAGTGACTGTTTCAAACATGATTTATATATATTGATAATATTTCTTTTAGTCATGCAATATCCAGCCAGAATGCTATTATTAAATGAATTGTCTAATGAAAGCTAGCTGCATATGGCAGTTACAGCGACTGAATGGATTTTTGCCATGTGCCAGAACAGAAATTGAAAGTAAAAACTCGGCGAAACAGGTTTTGCAGTCCTGAGAAATAGATATAATAATAAACATGTTTTACGCACGTTGTAAAACCAGCCCTTGCCCGTCGAAAATTGTATGTGAAAACAGGAGTAAAACTTTGTAACTAATTGACACCACTCGCAGCCAATATGTATAGAAAAATCTATAGAATAAATCATTTAGACACTTCAGCTTTCGTAGTCGAAAATCAAATGAAAAAATGAAACATTTCTGTTTTTCCAACTGCACTTAAAAACATATATTTATACATATCGAAAACAAACACTTTAGCTAAGCTAAGCCTGTCAAATACGCTATATGTTCCATTAATGGTAACCTTGCTCAAGGCCTTTCCGCAATGAATCCTAACCGACCTTAAAGTCGACCAATTCTCTTGACAATGCTCAGCTATCATTAACACAAATGTCGAAATATTCGACACGATTAACAATTTGATTTGGGCTTTCTTTGTTATTGCTGATGTTATGCTTATTGTTGTTGTGCCAAGGTTCAAACTGCTCAAGAGTTGGACGGGTTTACGCGTGTGTAGAAACGCGCAAATACACGTATGTCGCACAAACTCGTCTTATCAGAGCCGATGACAAATGCAGCTCATTAGGCTGGCTGGTGTGTCCAAGGCGAAAGCAGGAGCAAGTGTTGCACAGTGGTGCAAGATTCAAACAACGATTTAATAACATCTAATGCTGTGTTGAGAAGTGTTTACGAATATTTGAAACATCAGTTTCTAGTGTTGAAAAATGCAGATTCAATGCATTCTAGATTTGCATGGGAATTTCATCATGGGAAATTTTGCTTAGCAAGTTGAGAATGTACAGTAAAAGCTCTTTAGAGAGAATACCAGTTTAAATTATTATATATCGTTTTTTAAACCGATATATGAAAATCATTAAAAGAGTGGAGCCTTCATCAAATTTTTTAACATTTAATGACCTATAAGAAAATCGATATATTGCTTTCTGAACTAGGAATCCACTGTGCAACAATCCAAAATTGGTGGCTGCATATGTGAGTGTTTTTTGAATGTGTGTGCGTGTGTGGAGCATAAACAAATAAGAAGTGACGCGAGCTGCGTCAACAATATGGGCTTCATTTTTGTTTTGTGGCAGCAATGAGCAGTGAGTAGGAGTAGAAGGCAGAGGACAAAGAGAGAGGGGTACGAGGGCCTAGTTGGTAGCGGCACATAATTAACATTTGGCTCTGTTGGTTGCGTACCGTAAGAAATTTCCATGCGGCGGGGGCAATTACTGCGACTACTATTGCTGTTGCCGCTGCTGCTGCTGCTGCTGCTGCTGCTATTGCAGCCACGAATGTAATTAAGTTATTTTTTTTTCAATGAGTTTGCAAAATCAAATAGAAAACGGAAAGCAGAGCAGATACGTTAGCAACAACAACTAAAACGGAACAACAACAATGAAATTGTATGTAAAAATAAACAGCTACAAAATAATCATAAACGTAAACTTACAAAGCTCTGTATGTGAGGCGTCACTGTATCTGTGTGTGTGTGTTTGTGTTTTTGTTTGCGTGTGTGTGTGTGTGAGGCTTTTATCAGTCAGTTAGCCAGCATGTGTGTGAATGTGTGAGTGTATGTATTTATATACCACTGTATATATGCATATACATATGTGTATCCTCGACGATATACATGTGTGCGTAAATCAATGCATTTACAATTGCAATCGCAGGTGGCCGCACTTTCAGGTTCGCACACGCACAACAACAACAAACGTACAACAAAGAGAGGGAGAAAATTGAAAATTGTTTTCGTCTTTAGCCACCAGCGGTATTTTTTTATATTTAATTTTTTATTTTATATACATTCACAGTTCGGTTCGGTTCGGTTCAGTTCACCTTGCGCCAAACTCGAAATTCAGGCGTGCGCTAATTTCATTTTATTTTTTATCTAATTTTTCTTTTATACGCTCGCGCACACACACACTCATTGAATAATATGGCTATATGTACATGTTTGCTGCTGCTGCGGCTGCTGTTTTTGCTGCGCTTTGTAGTTGCTGTTTTTGTTTTTTTTCTCAGCGTGAATATCATCTGTTTGGGTCGCCTTCGTCGTCCATCGGGTTACAATTTACATACGGGAGACGCAACGCTAAAGGCAGACACACGACGACGACAACGGGGGCGGGGGCAGTGGCTTGTGCTGTAGCCAGTAGCCGTAGCCGTAGCCGTAGCTTGAAAATTTGTTTCTAATGTATGTGTGTGTTATTCTGCACTTTGCAAACGCTGTTCGTATTTTTATTGCACCAAGCTCTTGCTTAAAATGTTGTCTATTTAGGCTATTACAATCGCAAGCGCAACTATTTAACTATTAGCACGTCACACACGCGTATTTCTGGCTATTTAATTTTATCTTTAATTTGCCTAGTGTTGGGCAAGCGTAACAGTGTTGACTAACGTTGTATTCGGTATTTTTGGTATATTAATAACAATACCACTCTGATAGCATGGTGGCAACAATGCTAAATGTAAATTATAGAGTTGTGTCAAATGCTTACCAAATTTAAAAATTATATGGTATATAAACATACTAAAAAAATAAATACTTTTAAGAAGTTAAGAAGTTTTTAAGAAATTATGAATTACCTATGCGCAAAAAGCTTATTAAGCTTACTCAATGAACAGCGTACCCTGCTCTTGTTAATGGTATCAAAATAATGCAGTTTCATACTCCGCGGCAACCCTGTCGGGTGTAGCGTAATAATTTATCTGTCAGAAAACTAATTCAAAAGATTTTGCTAAGCGTTAAAGACAAAACAAATTTAATTGGAACGCCATGTGCGTTACCAGCACAGACTAAACGTTTCAATATATGTATAATATATATTCCATTAAAAATCAATAAGCTCATCTGTCATTCTTTGAATCTGGAGCACGGACCAACCCCCAAAGACGGAGGCCTGCAAAAAAACCGAAAAAAAAATATAAATTGTATAAATTGTGTGAGAAAACTTTCGTCATGATGAAGCAAATTTGCATATTCAATGTGCTAGTATTTTGCACATTAATTGCCATCTGTGTGGCTGCCTTTAGTGATCCGTACAAGGAGCTCGGTGTAAGCTCTACAGCATCCACACAGGAAATTCGACGGGCGTATAAACAATTGGCCAAGGAGTGGCATCCTGATAAAAGTGATCATCCGGATGCTGAGCGAAAATTTGTACAGATCAAAAAGGCCTACGAATTGTTGAGTGACATCGATCGGCGGCGTATTTATGATAGGCATGGCATTACCAGCGAGGACTCTCATTATTTAAAGCAAAAGCACGATTATAGCGGCTATAATCGATTTGGCTTCGATCCAGTTGAAGAGTTCTTTGGTAAGCAATTTGGATTTGACCAAGACATCAGCTTATATCACAAACTCTCGGTGACGTCCAACTACTTTGAGCATACCATCGTACCAAAGAGCAAGACTAAGTTGCATATTATCATGTTCTACAACGATTGGTGCTTTGGCTGTATACGAATTGTGGGAGCATTTAAGAAGTTGATTGATACCTTCGAGCCATTGGGAATATCTTTTGTCACCATCAATGCAGCACATGAGCCAAGCATTTTGCGTAAAACTGGAGCAGATGATATACCAAGAATGGTTTTGGTTCTTGGTGGGCATAGCTATGTCTATAGAGAGAATATTTACACCCAACAGAAGTTGGCGGAGTTTATTCGCAAGAAGATGCCCTTTAAGATTGGTCAGCGCATCAATGACGAGAATGTTGATGAATTTTTGAACGGTTGGACAGATAATCGGGTACGTGCTCTGGTCTTAGAGCCCAGAAGCGTAACCAGACTGAGATATTTGATAAGCGCCTTTGCTTTCCATGATCGTGTGGCTTTTGGCTTTGTGGATCTAACGAGCAAGGCTTCCAGCCTCATGGCAGATCGCTATAAAGTTAATCCCAAATTAGACACACTCTTTCTGTTCAATGAGGATTCCGTGCGAGCTGTTGCCAGCATTTCCATGGCCGATATACCCACACAAACCTTGGACAATATCATCTCAACAAATCAATTTCTCTCCCTACCCCGACTATCCTCCCAAGATGTGCTCGAAGGTGTTTGTCCAGCTGAATGGAATAGGCCTAGAAAGCGTTTGTGTGTAATACTTATTACAGAAAACTCTCCCGAATATGATATAGCCAGAGGAGCACTACGACATATAGCTTTAGAATCTGGCTATAGTTTGGAGAGAGTTCGATTTGCGTACATGTTTAAGGAGAAGCAGGCAGATTTCCTTAATGCCATTTCGAAGGGCTCCTTTGAGGACAATCTATTGAGGCTCGTCGTCATCTGGAGGCGTGATAGCACACAAATCAAATACGAATGGGTCGACGGTGCCAAGTTGGACATTAAAACAGCCGACTATTTGAACAATAGTGCCATCAATGCCACAAAACATGAGATTAATCTTACTATACAAAGGCTGTTAAAGACATCAGAGGCATTAACCTATGAGGCATTCGTGCAGAATTTGCTAGATGAGCATGCACAAGGCATGTTGAGTAAATGGATCACAAGACTACTCTATCTGGTCGATTATTTATCTGATAATATCGAAGACGAACATCTCTTTGCTGCCTTATCGCTATTGGGCACGATTGCGTTTATGTTTGGCATTGGCTATGTTATGATGTACTTTGTGCGCGCAGAGGAGGAGTCTCTTAAAGCTCAAGGACAGCTGAATGAGGGACAATGCAATAAGCAAAGCAAACACGTGCCGGAGCTAAAGCTGTACGAGCTGAGGGCAGAGAAATATAATGGTCTCGTCCGCCTGCTAAAGCCCGGATGTCGTACTATACTATTAATAACTGATATGCAGAGCCGTACCAAGTTAATTCCACCTTATCATCGCGCTGTTTGGCCATATAGGCGGACCAAAACCCTTCTCTTTGGCCACATGCTCATTGAAAAGGGCTTGTCCTGGTACTCAGAACTGTTACGCTTATCGTTATGCACAAATCAAAGCCTACAAATCAATCCCAGAAATTGTGTTGGAACTGTTATAGCCCTAAATGGGCACCGCAAGTATTTCTGCGTATATCATGCCAAGCATCCAGAATGCGCACGCGGCACCAAGCGAATGATCAAGATGACCAAACAATTGCTGGATCGTAACGATGACCCAGAAATTGGCAACTTCCTTGGTGTTAATTACTCCGAAGAATCAGATACCGAATCGAATGTGCTATTCGAAGACAATTTGTTAGATGGCCTCAGCAACTGGCTAGATCGTTTATTCGAGGGAACAACACACAGATATTACATCAACTATTGGCCCGATTTTCCCACAAAGTAAAGAAAAGTTCGCGTAAAGTATTAAAGTATGTGTAAATTACTTTGTCACCCTGCAATTTCTTGTAAATCCTTTCTAGTCAATAAAAAGAACAATCTACGTATTATCAACTCTTTCCTTGAAAAATAATTATGCTGCGCTGCAATTGATTTGGATTAGAGCAAGAAATCTGCCACATGATGGTGTATTAACTATTTGTATTATCAATCTAAGCATAATCTATGTTTAATAACCAAAGAATAAATAAAAGTTAAGTGCATTATAACATTAGACGAACTTAAGTCAAGATTTCTTTTATTCGCTGCTGGGTATTTATTATCTTTGATATATACCCATATAATTATTCCATTATTTAAGCTTTCTTAAACTAAGTCCCCCGTTGATAAGATGATCCCCCGCCCATAAGCGAGTGCAGCCGTATGACAGCGCGATAATCGTTGTGCGACAGCTGTCCTCGACGCGAACGATCTAGCACGCGCTGCAGGCGTTCCAAAGTCTCCGGATTTGTCGTTAGCTTGAACAGATCATCAAGATATTTAAGCGATTCACGTGACCAGAACATAGAGGGCTTCGAGGCATCTGTGTTGATGCGGGAATCACCACGTTCCATGCCAGCCAGCAGGCGAACGCATTCAGATTGCAGTGGACGATTGCGTTGCAACTGCAGTTTGCCAGCTGGCGTACGTTGCTGCATATTGTTGCAGGGTAATAAAAGCTTTTGCTGTTGTTGCGACTGTTGTGGGACGGGGCGAGATTTGTCTCGCTGCTGCTTTGGTATGCGTTGCTTGTTGTTATTATTGTGCTGCTCCTCGTGCTGCCAAACGGGCGGCAGAGGACGCAGCTGCCTCTTCTGTTGCCCCAGCGACTTGGCATGTGGCTGTGCGCGTTGCTTAGCTGTGCGAGAATTACTATTTGGCTGCATGGCAGGTGATGATAATTGTGCGCGCTCATCATGTTTCCATAAAGGCGGCGGCGGTGGTTGCTTCTGCTGCTGATCAGACCATTTGGCAGTAAGCAGCGAACGTTTGTTAGGCGAGGAAGTCTTGCTAGGCTCAGCGGTTGCAGCAGGTGGTGGTGAGGCAAGACGTTCTCTTTTCTTATTGATCATTTGCTGGCCCAGCAGAGCAGGCTCTATATTAAGCGTTGACATGCGATTCTTAACATCTAACTTGACATAGCTCTGAAGCAGCGTTTCATAATTAGGATGCGGATAGGCACTGAATATTATGCGCCAATGCTCTTCGATTTCATTGCGCATCGCAGCTGTGGCATTCTCATCGCCCGCATGCTCATTCAACAGACGCTTCAGTATGATCAGTAGCTGATCTAAATGCATGTTGCCATTGCTCAAGCCAGCCTGTCCAAATAATATCATATTGAGCAGGCGACGCTTGCGTTCGGCCAGCTTGTAGCCATTTTTGGTATTCATTTGCTCCAGCTCCTTTATGCGGAAATAATGGGTCTTGGCATTACCCAAATCTCCAGCTAAACTGGTGATGCCATCACGTATAAAACGTATGAGCACATCGATACGCTTTGGTGGTTTTTGGCTTTGAAATTCGTTGCTCTTGCGCTTCACATCCTGGTTGCGACGCAACAACATGAGCTGAAGAGCCTCCTGGTTCTTCTTCATACCATATATAACCAGTACATAGCCGTATTCCTTGAAGTCCATGCGGACATTGACATTACATTGCTTGGCCGAAGCAGTCAAAAACTCCCGACCCTCTGGACTGAATAGATATTCGGTTTGGTCGCGCGCCATGAGAATCTTCGCTTCTGATGGTACATCTGGCAAACTTTCCGGCAGCGGCGTTGTTGTTGCTGGAGGCGCCTTGTTATTCACGCACATCGAAATACCCTGACTTTTCGTGCCGATGGTCATGTCATTGTCTTCATCTTGTTCATTAGATGTTGTGCTGAGTGGTATTATGTCGGGCAGATTTTCCATAGGTCTTGTTTTTGCTTGTTCCGGTTCATTCTCCTGCTCATTTGGCCTAGTCGTCGAGCTAGGCAGCTCAAAATGTTCCGAAAAGCTGTAGTTCGAATCCGAGTCCAAGTCATGTGGTGTGACAGTAGATTTGCTGGCTGTCAGACTACTGTTGCTGATGGATTTGTTCGGTGTTGGAGACTTGTTGTCAAAATTGCTGCTAATCTCCTCCTGCTGTATTTGTACAGGAGCAGGTTCTGGTTCCGCTACTTTTAGAACTTCTGCATCTACTACCGAAGCAGAGTCGGGCTTATCCTCTACTGGCAGCTCCTCTACTATCGTAGAGGAAGTTGTAGCTGATGTAATGCGACGGGCTGCTCTGGCCTGCGGATTGGGCACATAATCATTTGTATAGACTTTTAACTGCTGAACTGAGGCATTCTTCTTGCGTTTCTCTGCCGGCTTAGCCAAACCAACTGCTATGAGAAAACGTGCGTAGCAGCTATTTTTTGAAAACTCTGAAGTCCAATTAAAGTGGAAATGCAAATCGATGGCAAAGGAGGACCGCAAATCAGTCAAATAGCTGATGGGTTCGCTGCGATCCTTGCAAACCTTCTGATGTGATATAATACGGCTGGTATGGTTCATATTCCGAAATTCGCCAAAGCGGTGACGACACTCCTCAAAGAGATGACCACGTAAGGAGCAATAGCTGCAGTGCTTTGGGCGATATTGCACTTTGCTATTTAGGACTGCATTGCTGCGAGTCTAAGGATAAACAGAGGTTATTGTTTTTGCATTTGAATTACATTACTTTAGCTTACTGTGGAGTGGTAACGACGCCACAGGTCGGGACACTTGTCGCTGCTATGGCCACGCACCTTGCACAGCTGACAGATCATCCGGCTATGAAACGAACATTTGTTGCACGTCTGCACATAGATAGACTGCTTGGAGCCACACTGTAAGAGATAAGATATATAAGTATAATGAACATAGAACAATGAAAATATAAAAATACGGAATACATAGCTATATCATATCAACTTTTGCTACTATTTAAGCTTCCGTTGCTATTCGTATATTTCATTCAAATGCGCGACTTACACCCAGACAAATGGCATTTGGACAGCGGGGTTCTGCATGCCCCGTCATGCCGCACATATAACAAATGACGGGCTTTCGTGGACGTGGACATTTGGAGCGTATATGTCCCATTTCAAAGCAATTACTGCACTTCAGATTTGAACGTTTGCGGGCAGGCGGAAAGCGATCTGCGTGGTTAATGCGCCACTCGCTGCGTTGGCCTAAAAAGTTACAAAGAATATTTTAAAATTAGCATCCTTCACTTAATAAAGTGAAACACCTACCCGACATGCCCTTCAGTATCTTTTGTAGATTAAAATTCTCTCCATGCCAACTATCATTATAAAAACGACACATTTCTTCATTCCAGCCAATCAAATCCTTCACACGTAGCTGCTCTTCCAGCTCCGGCAAATTGGGCTCCACTTGAACTTCAGCCAATACTTTTTTCATTTTCCGCTGTATTTCCATATTATTTACTTCAGCTGCAGCTTCATTCTCTTCAGTATTCTCCGCTTCTGTTTCCGGTTCAGAGTCCGGGTCCGGGTCCGTGTTAGTAGTGCTTACCTCCTGCATCTGCTTGGTATTCTCGGTATTCAGATTGGGTTTTGCAGGGCTTTGATCATCATCAATCATACAGACATCAATTATCGCATCACTCATGTCAGCTTCATATTCTGCGTTTGCATCAGAGCCAACGTTGTCCATTGGCTCGCCGTTCTGCGGAAGATGTTGATCGGCTTTTGCGCGGCTTTCATCATCATCAATCGTACAGACTTCGATTATCGCATTACTCATCTCAGCTTCATCTTCTGTGTTTGCATCAGAGCCAACGCTGTCCATTGGCTCGCCGTTCTGTGGAAGATGTTGCTCAGGTGTAGCCTGTTTCTTGCCCTGCTCCTGTTGGAGCAATCGTTCAGCGATTTGACGCGCTGTGGGCAGCGTCTCTTCAGCACCTGACTCTGAGCTGGCGTCATCAACGGATGTCTTCTTATGCTGCCCTGCTGGAGCTACACTTTCTGAGTTGCGCATTTGACTTATGCGACGTATTTTGCGCTTGCAACGCTCCACAGCCATACCACGTGCTATGCCTGGCACACCTGTTGCTTGCACACCTGCATCATCGCTCTCTGTGTCACCCTGATCACACTCGTTGTTGGGATCCGATTGGCTTTGGTTGGTGCTTGAAGCGCGTCGCTTGCGTAAACGTTTAGTTTTGTTCACGGTGGGTTCTACGACACGTTCGATGTCTGTCGAATCCGAGTCGGAGTCCACGTTGCGTATAATTGTTGGCACAGACTTCTGTTTTGCTTTGCAGTAGACGCCGCTTTCCGTGAGATCTGATTCGCTCTCATAGACATCCAGAGCACGGAATTGTTGTTCATCCACACGATAGTTTTGTTTGATCTCCTCAAGCCTGGAAGGCGGCACAAACTCATATTCCGAGGAGGTGTCTGCCGGCTGCTCCTTTTCTTGGCTGGCAGGCTCGGCTGCATCTCGTATGGCGTTCTCTGTAAGCACTAGCAAGTCTTCATCTGTAGCTCGGGCACGTTCGGCGAGCAGGCGACTCGTATCCTTTTGTACAATGAAATCATCACTGGATAAAACGGAACTCGAAGGTGAATTGAGCTGCGAAGCCATTGTGACTTGATCTGTGATTTGCTCTCCGGTTAAGCTTACATCCGCTGCATCCATTGCGTTCTCTTCCAAATAGGAAACTGCTGGCGTCTGCGGCTCCTGTTCCTCATCGCTTGAATCCACGTCTATAATGGGTACCGGTGGGAGCGGTACAATCACCACATCGTCTGCATCTGACGATTTCTCACTGTCAACAAGATTGATTAGTTCCATGGGTTGCTCTTTGTTTTGCCTAAGTTTCTTGTTTGCTTGCACACGCTTCGATTTTTGACGCTTCTCTGCAAGACGCTGATGCTGCTCGAGCTTACGATTTGCTTTCGCAAATGGGCCATGCCGCTCATGTTTGCCGGTTGGGAAATTGGATGGTATGGCCACCAGAAGGCGTTGATCAAAACGTTCAGGTTCATCGTCCTCAATTTTTGGGTTTGAGGTTTGCTGTGATTTCGGTGGTTTTTGTACTTGTGGCTGTTTTTTATGCGGCATTTTCGGTTGTTGACGCATTTGTTGTTGTTGCTGCAGCAATTGTTGAACAGGATTGAGAGCTTTTGTTTGTTTAGGCAAAAGAGACGACTTCTTGGCATTATTGAGCTTCTTTGTGGGAACAGCATCTCGCTTATCCTGCTCGGTAGTTGCGCCCGGCTCATCTGTGGTAGGAGCTGTTACAATGGTGAGAGAGTAAGATATATAGTATTAATTTTTATGGGACACATATTTTTATTGCTGAGAACTATTAGAGCCAAAATCATTGAAATACAATTATAAGTTGGGTTTTACTTAATATCCTGGCGGATTGAGTAAGCGTTTGAGGTGCTCATTACGAATATCCCTGTTATCGGGTTGACTTAAGCTGTAGCCGTGACGTTTAAGCTCAGTCAGCTGTCCCTCATCGATATGATAAAGTATAAATGCGTCCATTTGTAGATCTGCTCGATTGGGCCACAACAACACAGCCACTGAAGTGCGAAAAGCGTTTACAGCAAGATGGATCTGCTGATGTGATGAATGCAAATCTTCAAGCATTGTCATGTCTTCTTGCTGATTATGTTGGTCCTGTTGCCCCGAACAACGTTTCTGAATTTGCAATGCATTCTCCAGTTGCTGCACCAGACGCATCAAAACAAATCGCCTATATCGCTCCTCAAAATGTTGCCTCGGCTTATTATAACGGCACGTGTTGCGCCTAATTAATGTCGAGAGTATTATAACCTCCACACACGACATCACAACATGAACGGCCACAGTGAGGACAATGCCAGAAAATAGATACTCTACTGGATTTTGGCCTATCTCATCCAACCAATATAGCAGATCATATCCATAATAAACATAATAATAGTCCATTAATATAATAGTGCACAGCACCTTCAGCATTATTAGAACAATAATATTGTAATTAATGTCACTTATATGATTAAATAGAAAACGTGAAATGGCCCTTATCTGACGGAGCATGACGCTAGCCTGAGAATTCAATACGTAATTTTGATGCTTGTTTTACAAAAATTAATTTCAAATTGCTAAGCAACGTCGATACGAAATTCGGTATCTTCCCCAAAAAACTCGCTCAAATTGCTGATATAATGTACAAGCACATAATTATATATAAATAAATATATATATATATATATATATATACATATACATACACACACATATATATATATATATATATATATATATACATATATATACATATATATATAAATATACATATATATATATATATATATATATATATATATATATGTAAAGCATTTGACAGCGAATTCTTTCATGTTTATATCATAGTATACGCATATGTACATGTAAACAAATTTAAACTCACTTTCTGCTGTGGTTTTTGCCTTTGATTTCCAATTATCATTTGCCGTTGCAGTTTCGGTATTGTTATCAGACCAGTAGCGAGGTTTTGCAGTTGCATTATTGATAATTCGCTTGTTGCTAACAAATCGCTGTTGTTGCTTTTGCTGTTGTTCTATTTGCTGTTGTGGTGGTGGCATACTCTGTGCGTCCATATCCACATCCACATGCACATCCAGTGTGTGCTGTTGTTGTTCGCTGGTTGTATCATTGTAGTGTATGGAGGCGTAAAGAATTGATTCCAGCTCATTCAATTGCTCGCTGTCCATTTCTTCAAGCTGCAAACAAAGAAAACAATTTGCTTACACAGTATACTTATTATAGCATGCATATACTTACATCGCTCATCATGCCAGTGCTTGTAGTAGTTTCCTACTGCTATGTTTATTTTGAACATTAAAAAGCAAATCTTATTTTAATCCTTTTTATAATTTTACACAAAACCACGTTTTGACTAGAGATGAATGAATTGTTGTTCTTGTTACGATATATCGGCAATATTATCAATCATATCGATATAACACGATTGTGGGGCAACTTACGTACCCGATAAGCAAAACAGCAACCCTAACTGTTTGCAAGCCGGGCCACGTACAAGTGCAGGAAATTAACAAAAACTCAAAAAAAAAAAAAACAAATTAAATGTAAGCTAAACAAACTAATTGTTCCGTTATAACAAATGAAATAACGTTTTTACTTGCTTTAACAGAATGGAGCAAATGCAGCGCTACGTTTCACCTGTCAATCCAGCGGTCTTTCCACACCTAGCCACAGTTTTACTCATAATTGGAACATTCTTCACTGCTTGGTTTTTCGTATTTGTTGTCTCGCGGAAGAGCTCAAAGGAAAGCACATTAATTAAGGAGCTTCTGATTAGTCTGTGCGCTTCGATTTTCCTAGGATTTGGAATTTTGTTCCTCTTGTTAACCGTTGGTATTTACGTATGAGAGGCTAGACAAGAGCAAGCATTCCGTTTTTAAGATATATATATATATTAATGTGCATGATTGAATAAAATGGTATGAGGATGTGTGAACGTACGTTGGGTTTTATTCATATACATATATAATTTCAAAGATTCAATTTTAACTTAAAGCAATACCGAATATATTATAATAACATATCAAATTGTGTGCGGCTTGAATAATTAGTTGCACTTGAAAAACTGCAAATGAAATAATAACTGCAACAGACTGGCCTACGCATTCCATTTCATCCGATTAGCCAGCCAATCCAGCTTTTTGTCTACACTTTTGCATTGTGGCCCGCAAAATGAATTGCTTGCGAGAAAGTTGGCGCACATGCTTCAGAAACGTCTCCAGATCGATGACACCACCACGCAGACCTTCTCCCAAATAATAAATGGCATCCTCTGTGGCAGCTTCATCAGCGTAGGCATTAAGTAATCTATAAAATAAAATAATCGTTTACCCAATGGAAAAAGTTAAATATAGTTTCAATTACTTACTGTCTATATAAAGGCGCAGTTGTGGTTACTGCCTCATCTGGATCAATGGCTTCCGCATTCTCAAGGTTCTCTAGACTTTTCTTTAATTCCTCCTCCTTGTCTCGCAGTACAGTTATGTTCTTTTGCAGATCAATTTCCTCGCGTTCCAGTCGAGCAACGATGGCATCTATTTTGACACTACCTTCTACTAACTCTTGTTTGGTGCGATTCAATGTTTCGATTTCAGCTTGATACTGATTCACCTTCTCCTGTATACGACGTTTTAACTTGTCCTCAACGGCGCTAATAAGTGATGCTTTGATATGCTCTTCCGTTATGGTGCCTGTTGAGCTAGGAGTGGTAACTCCAGCTGGATTCTATGCCGAGAATATTAATACATTTATCTATCTATGAATGAATTGCTTTGTAGTATATCATAGGTCTTACATATCCAACACCGCCAGGATATCCGCCAGGCTGGGGATAATTCATGTATGGCGGATAGCCAGCAGAGCTGCCTGACTGGCCACCAGTCGGTGGATAAGGCATAAAGTTACCGCCCCCAGTAGGATAAGGCGGGAAATTGCCACCACTAGCACCAGTTGCGTTTGGATAAGGTAGAAACTGATTGGACGCACTAGGGCCTCCTGGCTGAGGCATGTAAGCTGCGAATGATAAGCTTAAAAATTAAAAATCAAAGATAGTTTCCTTTACACTTACAATTCGCTGGATATGGCACAGCGACTTGTTCTTTAGGCTTGGAATAAACGGGCGGATGATCACCGAATGTCACAATCATAACTTGTATTAGCGATAGCAGATCCGAGTAATGTGGCTGCCAGTCGTGCAAATACGGCAAATACACCTTGCCATTGTGATCCACATACATGGATACCTTGATCTGCATTGTTGGCGTTGGCTTCACAAAGCACATTGGAGCATTTTGCGGATGGGTGTCCATCAGCCATATACATATCGGAATGTAGTATGTGTTGTCTGTGAAGTCAAGTGTTTTCAGTACAAAAGCTTGTCTAATAGACTAAAACCAATACTTACTTTTGTAGACTACCGGTATTGTGCCTTGCAACGCAAGCAAATCTTTTACACTGCCATCGTTGAAAACTAAGGGACAATAAAAAATTGTTTATTTGTTTGTGTTTGTAAGTCTTATTCAGCAGAAAATTTTGCTTAATCTCACCAAATTTTTCTAGATTGTATGTCAAGCTGCGGTATGAGGTAACGACATCCACAACATCTTTCCTAGTGGCCGCAACATTTTTATACTGTTAACGAGATTCAATTAATCAAATATTTTATTACTGCGTGTTGGACAGTAGAGGATGGATAAGGCACACAGACAAAAATTATGACTCATCGTACCTTGGATAGATATTTAGTTAGTTGTGCCTCTTCTATTGCAGGCATTCTACTTCGTAGTTATTAAATCGAATTTAGAATCAGCACCTGCTACTTTAACAATTATTTTAAAATAAATTTCTTTACAGTCGCTAAACGAAAACAAAGTCGTCAATTGAGTATTTTTAGAGTTCAGATAGAATCGAGTACATGCCTATTCTTATCGCACATATTCGATAACATTTAAAGGCATCGATATTCATTGCGTTACGTGATAGTTTGCAAAACGTTATATTTTAGATTTTAAACAAATTTAAGAAACGATGTTTTTAAAATGCTTGTTTATTGTTTTGTTTCTCTTCTAATTAATTGCTACAGATATGGGAAATGATATGTTCATCGCGTTTCTTGCTGTAGATGCCTCTCACTGACAAATAGTTCGCAGGCAGTTTACTTTGTCTTATTCATATTGTGGCGTTTGGGGCGTCTGTAAACAAATAAGAGCATTTAAATCATAATTTTTTAATAATAGTAAAAAAGAAAACGTCACCTCATTGGCTTGGCTTTGTATCTTAAATGTAACTTTATTTGAATACTTTCGTTTTTTTGTCTCTTTACTCATTAGGCATATATATATATATATATATATATATATATATATATATATATATATATATATATATATATATATATATATATATATATATATATTACGTGTGTTTTGTTGGATTTGTGTCAGTGTACTTAGCCAATGTTCAGTTAACTAGGCATTACTATAGGTATTGTTCATTTGTTACTTTTGTTTTTAAATATATATATATATTTTATATAAATATGTATTTTTTCAATAGGTTTATATATGTATGTATATTATAAAAATCATCATCGTCGTCGTCGCCGTCGCCGTCGTTCTAAGCGCACTCGCTTTCTCATTGTGGGTGGTTGGTTAGATTTTAGTTGTTAAATTTGTGAATTACACATATAAAAATAATTCATTTTGTTTTACTTGTGTTACTCCTTCTCTGACGCTCTTACGCTACACGTAATTTATGTGTATTTTAATAATATACAATTATGTTCTTGTATATGCTGGAAAATGTGAAGGAGGGAGGAGGTCAGAGATAGTATCTTACTACTAAAAACCATTAAATAGTTTAACTCATTCTTTTGTTTTGTTTTTATCATCTTATATGTTTTAAGTTCACATTAATTTTAATGCTATTGTTAGAATACAAAATGGTTTCCCTCGAATCATATATTATTTTATATATAGATTTTCCATTATTTTATATATGTATAATATATATATATAAATTTTATGTTATTTTTTGTGCTACATATTTGCATTATTTTTATTGCTTTAATCGGCGTTTGCATTTTCCAATTTAAATTTAATTTGCTCATTTCATTTTTATATTCCTCCTTTTTTTGGTAAAGTAAATTTAAAAATAGCGCGCAAATTAGCTGTCCAATTATTTTAATTTTCTTCATAATTTCAATTAATTTTCCATTCAATTGTTTGGTTTTTCTTTTGGCACATTAATGCATTCATTGCCGTTAGATTAGTAAAACAAGCGTGTTTCATCATAATTCTTCATAAATAACAACACATCGCATACAGATACACATACATATACATATATGCATAGATATAAATGTATATATATGCATGCACAGTCTGATATTTGAAAATGTTTACGAAACGTAAGTGTTTAACAACAAGTGAAGCGTGGGCGTGGGCGTGGTCGTTCGTGCACAATATACATATAAAATATTTTAGATAGCAACGTTTCTTTCTCTTCTTCTTCTTTATCTTCTTGTTTTATTTTGTATCAAATAAGTGAAAAAATTGTACATAGGTTAGCGAGCGCAAAATAAAAATGCATTTGCACGAATATTTCAAGTCGATATATAGATATATATGTATATATGATTTTTTTAAGGTTTGTTCTGTTCCTTTTTTGTTTATGTGTATTTCATTCATTATTATAGTTTTTCATCTTTTTTTCTTTGTTAAGTGTATCGAGAAAAAATTTGTTCTAAAATGTCAGTCTATTGCGCAAGAATCTAACTTTTGTGCTTTCCTAAGTTTTAAATGTTGCTGTAGTTTTGTTTTTGTCTTGTTTTTTCATTTGTTTTGTTTTTTTTTTATATATAAAAAAATTCCCTAATATGCATTGTCATTATCGTTTTAATTAATGCGACTATTTTCGCATTGTTCGCTGTCCAACTCGTGATTGTGTGGGTGTGTCTCTGTCTGTCACCGTCTGTGTGTGTGTGTGTGCAAGAATTTGTGTCGCGCTGACATTTGATGTTAGCTCGATAAGACCTACATACATACATATACATACACATACATAGATACATATGCCCAGAACTGGGAATCACTGTCACGCTACTATGCCACTACATTCTGATTCAATTGCTACAACTACTACAGGCTACTACTTTCGTTTGTGGCTACGGCAAGGACTTAACCTAGCTTTGTGTACGCGTAGGCGGCAATAACGCCCACAACAACACCAGCGGCAATATATGTGAGTAATGACCTTCGTTTTTTCGCCGCCTGCTGATTGTCCTCGTTCTCACGTTGTTTGCGCTTAATTTCGTTGACTTTCTGTTCCAGATTTGATTGGTATTCATTACGTTTTCGCCGCTTCAGCTCGTCCCCGGTACTAAAAAGATTTTAATAAGAATTATAATTTTATTTAACAATATCAATATATATATATATATATATATACCTCGTTGTCAAATCAATGCCGTTGACCTTATGCTGATCCATTGCCGTTGGCTTTTCGCTGTTGGCATTCACATCATCTTCATGTGGCTGTAGGATTGTGACATCACCATTGGCTGGCTCCAATTTGTGTTCATTAATATTCTCATATTCTTCATCCTCATCATCCTCGTTCTCATCATAGGCTTCGTCGTCGTCCTCACTATCCGATTCCAGTTCACTATGCTTTGGCAACTTGGGCAGTGGCGGCAGAGGACGATTGTTAAGCAAACTATCTGCCACTTCGGCATTTATGATCTCAGGCTGACTGCTTATGATATTGTTGAGAGCATCCTTGCTGTTTAGCGTCTGCTTATCGGTGGTAATGATGCCATTGTCCTCTCCTATGAGCACATTTTCGCCATTGGCCTGCGCTGCACGCATGTCCAGTGAGAGTACTCCACCTGTATTGGGCGCCAGAGGCAAGTTAAGCGAATGAGAACGTGGAGGCAATGGAGGCGGTTGCTCATCCTGCACGTGGGGATCCGTCTCATTGCTAATGATTGGCTCCTCAGCACCAAGAAAACTCTGTAAATATAAAGACGGAAAATTAGGGAAAGCTTTCTCTAATGAACTAAGCAACTTCGTCCAAGCTTCACTCAAAAACTTAAAAAGTTCAAAAAAGCGTTTAGCAAAGCTAAAAAAATTACAAATTATCAACATATTTGATATAAAGCATATGGTTTTATAAAACAAATGTTTGATTTTGTTTTAAACATTTACCTACATTTCATCAATTATTAATTCATAACATTTTAGTTTTGCAACACAATTTCTATACAATATAGTCATTAACACATCAAAGGTCTGTTTAAATTGTGATGGTCGATGTGGCTTGCTCTTATGAACTCTTTGTCTAATTGAAATTGAAATTCAGGCGTAATTTCTTATTGGTGCTTAATATACGTACAGGATCGTTGAGTTTTTTTATGCCCTCGATTATTGCCTGATATGAAAAGTCCAACTGATCGGCCGTTTGTATTAGTCCCAGTCGGTAGGTGCGCAACTCGCACAGTACTTCCGACACATTGCACTCGCCATACTTGTCCACCAGTACCAGACAGCAATCGACCAAGCAAAATGTGCCAGATCGTCCGATACCGGCACTACAATGGACCACAGCTGGACCGACATCCGCCTTGAGTGCACCTGAGTCGCGCACCTGCTGTAAGAACTTTAGAAATGCATCCGGTGAACTAGGTATACCAAAGTCCGGCCAGGTTGTATAATGGAATTGCATAACTTCACGGCTCTTCTTCGTTTCGAGATCAGTTAACCTAAGATAAGAGATATGTTAATAAATGTTGTTACAGTTGGCTTCTTGGTAAGGTTATCTCACTTGAACCACCGCCGCACAAAGTTCTGATAGTTCTCGCAGCGAATAAGTTCCACAGATAGATTGACATCCTTTAGATTAAGCGCATTGTTGGCTCCCAGCTGATCTGGCCAATAGGGATGGCATTTAATCTGCTTCTTCTCCTTTAGCTTGTTAAGCATTAGAATCCCGCGTGATTTTTGCTCCCAGACCATAAGCCAAAAGTGACCCACCGTATCCTGCAGCGGACCCTGTGTCAGTATATATTGACGATCAGCACGATCCAGCTGTAGATTATATATACAACAAGGAAGGGACAGACATTAGTTTGATTTCGGATAGTTCATTGGTATGTCTCACACTTACCTTCACCAGGTTGGCATTGATGTAATCAACGCTACCGCGTTTCAGCACAATGCGCGAATGATCATAGGGATTGACATCTCTATATCGGTTCAGTCCTCGATTCTGTGAACGCTCCGATTCCAGCGTGGTATACTCTTGCGATTTGGCCACGCGTTCGCATATTTCACATATTTCCTGTAAGCAGACATAAAATGAATACAATCAATTATGACATTGTGGATTTTCGCAGTGTGATTCATGATTATGCGGAGAGTAAAATGCACATAGATAGTGTTTTTGTTTCTTTTTTTTTTTTGGGGGTTGCCCATACATAGCGTGTTCGCCAGCCGTTATTCTCTAACAAGTTCTGTTATCTTAGCCTAACGACTGATTGGCTTGCCTGTCTCGATTTTCTTTGCCAGGTCGAGAAAGCTGCCATGACTAATTGCTTGGCCAACGGTATCATCTTGATAACTGTTATTTGTTATCAATTGGCGCAGCTATAAGCCCACTCTTCATATCATACCCACCCCTAACAACAAGTTCAATGCCACTGATCCACTCTAGTTTAGCTCAAAGCCAATTGCTGCCCACTTGGCTAAGTAGTGCAATTTGCATTCAGTCTGTATGATGAGTAAATCTGGGAGTGAGTGAGAGGGGAGGCAGATGAGTTATGACTAACGAGGCATGCGGCATTAATGCAGTTACTTTTTTATTGCCGATGTTCCAGTTTTTCTTTTTGTAGCATTGTATGCGACGCAGTTTTTTGTATTTTTTGATTGCAGTGCGAAAAAATAAAATCAGTTGCTAATTGTCAGTTCGTCATTAAGTAGGTGAATCAGTTATATTAAGTCGTCAAGCCACTCCTCGATAATCAGCACAAATTGAGGCTGACGACTGCGGCGAGTGTTATGAAATTTAATTGAAAAGAACATTGTCCGATAACGCCTTGAGTGCGAAAGAGAGGCACGAGAGGGCCGAGACAGACACTGACAGAGGAGAGCGAGAGAAGAGATAAGCGGCACAGGAACAATACAATATATGCGTATAAGCCAAAAATATCTGCGATAAGCATCAATACTCTTATCAGTAGTGTAACTGTTACCAGCGCACTCCTTGCTTATCAGCAACTGTTTATCCGAAAAGAAAAAAACCCAGATTCAATTTATATACCCAATTTAGCAACCATATATGCATTTCTGTGTGTGTGTGGTATAATAGGTATGAATACCAATCACCAGCCAGGTCTATTTAAACTACGTTTCAGAAGATTTTTACATTTAATATTAGCATTGTTCGTTTCCTCTTACTACAATTCATGAGAATCGCAAAGAAAGGATGTACAATTTGTTTTTCCAATATATCTGTTGAATTGCATTCGCAGCTCAACAAATATGGTTTCTTTCCATTGAATACCGGCTACATATACGGCTTCTAAATGAATCTTGGAGAACTGCGTTCACTTTTCGCTTAAAAATCGACAAAGCTTTACAGCTAATATACACCTTCTGTAGCCACATGTTTTACGGGGTATGGGAATTGCATGCTGCATGAATTTCATTGCAACAAATAACGTACAACATAGAATGTGGGCAACGAGCTCGTCACAGTCTGTGCGATTGTTGTTGGTGTTACTTTCATAATGAGCCGAAGCAAAGGTGATAAAAGAAAGGCAAAAACCAAATACAAACATAAGAAAGCAGCACAATACGGTAAATAATTGTGGCTTAAAGTGCCCATAAAGCATAACAAACAATTTAAAAACATTTTCTGCTACTATTATTATTATACATATATTTTTGATGTTTCTGTAGGAGGTGGCGGAGAAGGAGGAGGACCATAATTAAATGGAAATGTTCGTTTGTACAAAGGAAATGCTTTCAAGCGAAAAACAATTTGGATATTTCATCAAGCTTGGCAGTCGCTGCCGTCGAGTTAGTGGGAAAGTTAGATTATCCTCACAGCGCACAAAGGACCCATACATACACACATACAACACACACATTCGCACAAAGGATGAGCTGGCACAGAACAAATTGAGTTCATTACACAAAAATTTATACACACGCACACACAGATACGCAGCAGGCAATGTCATCCTAACTGCGAAGTTAAATTCCGTGAAATCCAAATTCAAGTGAGTGCCACAGAAGAAGAAGCGGGCTGAAGCAACAGCTGAAGACACAATTCGCCGGAACTGGCCATAAAGCAGAAACTCCAGCTCTGGCAGACGAAGCAGCAGCAGCAGCACTGGAACCCGAAGAGAAACCCAGGCCCAGACACCGAGACTTCTGCCCATTCTATATGTATTTGCGTGTGTGTGTGAGGGGAAAAAGAAAGAGAGAGAGACTTCTACAACAACTTGCATTGGCAAGTCCTGTGCATTGCCAATCTTATTTACACTGACGGATTTTCCATCAATCTGTTCTCCTGCTTTACAACACTATGAATGGGTGGTAAGTGTTGTTTAATGCATTTGCAGATATGTAAGCAAAAGTTACAAATATCTGTGGGCCGCAATCAAAACAATTGAAATTCAAAACATACATATACATACACAAATACGTATGTATTTCCAAGAATTGTGTACAAATACCGACAACAAATTCGCAGAACTCCAAACGCTCGCGACGCGTACGTCGATTTTATTTTTCTTTATTTTTTGTTTTTATCAATAATAGTAATAACGAAACAATTTTTGGCAATCCTAATCGTAACAGTCCGCTTCACTGCATGCCCATTCAAAATTCGAGTGCAGAAAATGACCAAGGTAATCAGAATTGAAGCGAATTTCAGGGAAGGAAAAGAAGAAGCAGCGCAGCAGCAACAGCAACAGCATCCAAGAGCAACAAGCGAGAGCGCATGCAAAGTGCAGCAGGTGAGCGCTAGCATTGCTTTGCATGCATGTGTGCGTGAGTGAGCGACTCAATGTCTGTGCATGTGTGTGTGTGTGTTTGAGAGAATGTGCCTGTGAAATTTTCGGCCAAACGTTGCGCGAGCGCCACAAACTAAAGCCAAAGACCGGAGTTGGGCTGCTGCTGCGGCTGCTGACCAACGCCGACACCAAAAGCTACAAATACAGGCGCACGTTCACATGACAGCGATGGCAACAACAATATAAATAATAGCGCAGTGGGTCTGACCGTGAGCGGCGTGTCTACACAGACACTACACAAATACACACGCATACATGTGTAGTTGTTTTTTTTTGCCGTGTATGTGCGTGTGTATTGGTGGTGGTGTTGGAGGCATCGGCATCTGCAGAAGCCTTTTGCGCACTCATCACATTTTCGTGGAAATCGAATGAAAAAAGGAATAAAATAGTATGTGTGCGCCCGAGTGTGTATGCATGTGTGTGTAAGGTACATGCATGTGCGCGTGTTTGCTCGTGCTCTGCTTCTTGCCTGTATGTAGCTGTTCCTCTTTAGGTGTACAATGATATGGTGGTACACTTACCTTGTAGTATCGATTCCAACCCGATCCATTTTTTTTGTCATTATATTCCTGTTCGATTTTGAGCCTGGCGGGCGTATTATCCTTTGTCGGCGTTGCTGCCCGTTTCTCACTCATGGTACACTTAATTATGTTTGTGTGTTGGTTGTTATTTTAGAATTTGGATTTATTTGTAATGTCTGCTACTGCTGCTTTGCTTTTCTTTTCCTTACGTTTTGCGTTTTGTTTTCGACACACCGACACACCAACAGACAGAAACGACTCTGAAACAACCGAGCAAATAGTGCGTAAGAAAATTTGACTACTGCGGCGACGGTCTGACGGTTGGTTGGTTGTTCGTCTGTTGCTAACACGCTATAGCGCGAATGCTGGTGGCGATTGTATATAAATAACTAACTATAAACGGTCAGCACTTGCCACATTATTCAATGTATATTGCGTTAAAACACCAAATGCGTGCGTTTAGTCTTGATTAGTAATGTTTTTCTCCTTCTCGCCTTTTTTCTTTCCGCAAAATTAGCAGTAATTGATGTTTCGATGAGAACAAAACCTATCGCACTATCGATTGGCAAAATATTGTTCAGTGACACGGTCACACTGATGAAGAAGTGAAGCAAGTTGGCATGCCCAATTTGCAAACAGCTGTTTTTAGTCGCGTAATAATTGTTGGCTAAAATAAATATGATAAAAACGCGCATTTTTCGATTAATTCGTGACAAACGCTTAAGCGTGCCTATTTTGCGTGGCTTTCATCACGAATTTAGCAAACCCGAACCGCAAAAAAATGGAAAAATTGATGTGAAAGAACAATCGTTTGTGGCCGGTGGCGTGCAAAATAAATACAAAGTCTTTCGCGATGAGGAAGCAATGGAAATTTTCGATGTAGAGGAGGCGCGCTACCAGGAGCAAGAGCTGCCTCTGGATGCCGAAGAGGATCAATATATGGGTCTTAATTTGAAGAGTAAGTCAGCTGTAAAGCTTGACTACATATTGCTTATACCTATTCCTTTCAAGGAGGTATTCGCGGCGTTTTCGATGTTGAGGATTTGGTTGAGCTGCTGCGCAAGGAGAATGTAGATGATATATTTGTTTGCTATGTGCCAGAGGAGCTGAAGTATGTGGATCATCTGGTTGTTTGCAGCGCACGCAGCTATCGCCACATGTTGGCCACGGCAGAATTTGTACGTCGCATGTTTAAGATTAAGCGTTCTAAAGGAGATATTCTGCCTCGCATTGAGGGCGAGAAAAGTCGCGATTGGATGGCCATGGATTTGGGTAAGTAGTCAGTATGCTTTCTAAAACTACACTTTTTATACCGGTGTTCTTCCTTAGGTAACATTGCACTGCACATTTTTTCGCCCAAAGCTCGCGAAGATTACGATCTGGAATCCCTATGGGCCATTGGCCCTCAATACGATCATGAAAGCCAGAAGCCTCAGGATCCATTAGGCAACATATTTATGGCCCAGCTGCCCAAGCCCGAAACGTAGTTTGTTAAATACATATGAAGCTGTTTTTTAAGCGCAGAATTTTATTATTGTTCATCACCAGACGACAGCATCGTCTGTTAACTTTTTGTGAAAGTCATAGAGACTGGGAAAGACATGATTGCGCTTGATGTCCGTGCCGTATTTCTTGGATAGATAGGAGTAGCTTTTCTCGTGCACCAGTGCTGCATGCCAGCCGGCTTCTTTGGCGCCCAGATAATCTGTCGTGGGCCCATCCCCAATGTGCAGACACTCAGCTGGCTTCAGATTTGCCAGCTTCGAGTCCTCCATGGCGCGCTGAAAGATAGCCAACTGTGGCTTCTCCGCTTTTGCCGTATATGAGTTCAGCGCAAAGTCCAGGTAACGATCGAGCTTTGTGTTGCGCAGCAGCGCGTCAAGTCGCGGATCAAAGTTGGCTATGACGCCTACTTTAAGCTGTTTATCCGCTAGATTGTGTTTGCGCAGCTGTTGGAGCAGCTCCACGCTGCCATTACATGGCTGCCAGCAAATCGTCGTTTTATACAGTTCCAGCAAATGGCTAACGAAATTATCTAATTTCTCATCGGGTATGGCTGCGCCGCTCTCTGCGAAGGTGCCTGGCAAGAGCAGAAAGAATGTATTTTAAGCTCTTGAACTTTGAACTAGAGCTGAGGGGCAGCCACAGTTTATCGCTTACCTGCTATCAGCTGACGCCACCATTGCTGCCACTCAAGTCGCGGCGATGTGTCCACGCCAAAATTAGGATAATCACGATTCATTTTATACCTGCCAAAAGGAATACTAAATTGTGGATCAAGCGTAGTTCAGCTGCGCTTACCAATTGGCTTTATAGTTCTTGGCCAAGTCATTGTTATCGCAGCGCGCACCAAACAACGCTCCGATTTCGCCATATTGTTTGCCGGGGCTTGTGCGAAATTGCAGCAGCGTATTGGTCACATCGAAGGTTATCAAACGAAAGCGATTCAGGCTGCGCATCGTTTTGCTTTGTCCGGTGGGGTCCCTCTCAATAATATGCTGATAGCGATTAAACTTGTTGCGTTGCGAACGACCGCTGTTTGTGTACTACGTGAGCAGCGGTCATAATTGTTTTGTATATATGCTGCTGCTGCTGCTGCTGCTGTTTTTCTTATCAGCTACAGATTTGTATAAATCTTTGTATGTGTATGTTGGCTATTTGTTGTGCCTGTATATCAACAGCTGGTTAGTAATTTTACGACTGACAATTCACATAACTGTCTCTTGTTATTAAAGTACTGAGCTTATCGGAACTCAATTTTAATAATATTGATTTGTATTACAAATAATATTGATTAAATGCTGTTATCAGCTAAGCTTTTTGCTTGAAAAGCGCGCGAGTGGTAGCGTGGTGTTGCCAGACTGGTTGCAGTTAGTGGCAGCCATTGGCAACGGTCTCACCAGCTTCAAATGATTACGTTTAGCGAAGACAACAACCCGTCGGCTTTGCGCGCGCAGATTTGAATTACAATTTGAAACTTGTAACGTTCAAGTTCAAGCTGCAACGTGCTGTCATTTCGAGGTCGACTACGTTTTTGCCAAAATATTCGGCGCAGCTGAAGTTTGGCATATGGAAGACGTGTCAGTTTTATTAATGCTCGTGGGAAGCAATAACAAGGCGCATACAACAACAGCAATGCTTGCACGTATCTGTTGTTTTGACCTAGCAAAGTGTCTGACTACCTGCCTCAAGTTGCGGAATTGCTGATTACTTTTTGTTTTTTTGTGTTCGTTTTTGTTTTTGCAGTAAACAGTGAGTGATTTGGAAGAAGTGTGACCAGCCAAGCTTGGTAGTTAGTAAGGTATTTGCGTGACATTTAATATGTTTTTAGTATTAGTTTTGGTAATTTATTGATATTTAAGTTATTTAAAATGAAGAAATTAAGACAGTTGCCGAGGCTAAAGTAGCGGCAGATCCAAATTTGTATCCTTTTATTGATGAGCTGCGGCAAAATGAGAGGAATCAAACATAAAACATAATAACTAAAGGTAAACACACACACAGACGCACACAGCTGTACAAATAAAATGCCATATAAGGTATTCGAATGAAATTCCGGTGAAAAGACAAACACATAAAAACATAACAAAAGCATAAATTCATTCATACACCCGAAGCGACGACGGTTGCGTCTGCAGCGACACCGACAGCTACCATCAACAATAGAGGCAGCTCCCCCTAAAACCCAATGGACCAAAAGTGCTTGGCCAAATCGGACTCACACACTCACACGCTTCATGCGGGGCTTGGTGCAGGGTATCGAATCGCAACGCTGATTTCTGTTGACTTGCGCGCCCACAAAAAAAAGAAGGAGAGCTGCAAAAAACGTCGAACTTTCTGCTTATTTAAGCTTTCGTTGCTGCGCCCAATTTATATATAAATAAATATAAATAAAGTATCAATTTCCCTCGTTCAGAGTTTCGGGCTTCGGATTTCTATGGAAGGGCGAGGGTGAGGGCGCAAATACTCTGTAAATTCCATAAATGCCAAAGATCGTTAGGGAATGTGCTTTTTTCCTTTGGCTGTCATTCGTTTGCAGGGCCACGAAATGCAGCCTTTTATTTATTTGGGCCAAATCAGCGATACCAGGAAAAATGAGGCGTGGTATGAATGGAATTTGCTAAAAACTTCATTTTCAGAGGGATGCAAGAGGAATGGACGAGAGATGCGGCAGATGCTTGTTTGCCAGCATGAAATATTCTTTATATGGCTTTTTAAAATGTTTATAAATTATATTTAAAGGTTTTTATAGTAAGTAAGGGCAGTTGAAGATTTTTATCTATTGTGAACTAATTAATTAGAAAGAGGGCTTGACCTGGAGGCTAGAGGCTGGCAGTTGAAGGCTACAGAAGCAGCTTTAGTAAGGCCTTGACTACCTTAAATATTTCAGAGGTATGATTGTCAAAATAGAGCGAGGGTGGTTTGACAATTTATAAAATATTAATATACAATGAAAGCTTGTAAATAGTTTTAAAAATGTGAAAATAGTTAAAGAAAATCAAATTTATTTTTATTAAAAAAATGTATATAATAAAATCTAGAGGCAATATAGTACAGCTTAATATATAAATAGTTAAACTGCAACAGTTATAGGTATATATATATATATACTGTAAACACGATTTCTGCGTTTACTAAGTCAAGTTCAACAAGCAAATCTTAGGGTAAGGTCTACACAGAACAATTTTTCCTGTGTACAGAAGTAAGCCTATAAATATCTCTCGTATCTTATATCTCAGTCTAAGCACTACAATCTTTCTTACTAGAGGCATATGCCCCCACCGAAATAACACTAAAAGCCCACTTTGACTGATAACTGCAAATATTTGCACTTAAATAAAGCTAAGCTAGATATCTACAGACACATGTCCCATAACCAATGATTACAAGGTATTTAAGTACGTTTCGCCAACTACTTCAGTTGCAAAAAACCTATATATATAGTTATATATAAGAAATAAAAAATAATAAAAAGGCCGCCCAACTTTCAACAAAAACTTTCCCAAGAAAATTAAGTAAGCAAGCAGCTCAACCAAGTCAACTCAACTCAACTCAACTCGACTCAAAGCCAAGGCAAGGCGAAGGCGAAGGCGAGCCAAAGCAAACCAAACCAAGCCAAGTCAAGCAGCCAGCCAGCCAGCCAACCAATAATAATAAAGTCAATGACTCTCATGGAATTTCATGTTGGCCCTTTTCGAAATGTGTCTGCCAGTCGGTCGGCCCAACTCCGACTCCAACTCCAACTCCAACTTGGCTGCTTGGCCGTCTGCCCGTCTGTCTCTCTGTCTCTCTGTCTGTTTGTCTGTCTGACTGGCTGCCTGACTGCCTTTTAATATTATCTGCACTTTGGGTCTTTGGCTGCCGCCGCTTTTTGTTGTTGTTGTCGTTGCAGTTTGTTGTTGTTGTTGTTTTGATTGGTCGTTTTAACCTGTTTGCGAATTTCTACCATGTTAATAAATAATTTTTAGAGGATTCGCCTGGTGCGCTTAGGAGTCAGCCAGCAACAGGAGCGCCATCAGTAGCAAGCGCAGATGACGATGACGACGACGACGACGGCGATGACATTGACTTAGACTTCGACTTCGACTTCGTCTTCGACTTGGAATACAGCTTAGATTCCTCTGGCTATGGGCAGTTCTTGGCTCAGTTTGTTATGCTTGCTGATTATGTGTGCCACAACTTCTAGACTTCAGACTGCACATGCATTCCTCATAGTCCACACTCGAACTACACATTTAAATTTCCATAGTCAGATTTCATATTTTCTACTTAATACATACTTCATAATCACAGCTCATTTTCTTCACATCCAAAACACTTCCTCTACACTATATAATCCACACTCAGTATGGAAACTATATCCACATAAATTCCACACTCATTGTCCACACATCATGTCCAAGCAGTCCAATTCACGCTTTAGCATCCACATCATAAAACCCATTTAAAATATTCGATACGACCCAATATTATAAGGCCTCACTCTATATTTATATGTTCATTCGTCTATAAACTCTGTATTTATAGCAGATTCCGATTCGTATAATTCAAATATATATAATTCAGTTTCATATCCATAATATCTAACTATATTGCAGGCTTTTTCGATAGATTCTCAGTTTTTCAAGCTATTAATCAAAAGTAAAATTTGGAGCAATTTTCACAAAGATTTTTCTCATGCTCAAAACTATGCTGTGAAAAGCTCGCCCAAAAGTATGCTAGGAAAAACAGCAAAGATTAAAATATTTAATCAATCAGTTTATATTATATTATATTATATTATATTGTATTATATTATATTATATTATATTAAATTATATTATATTATATTATATTATATAAATATCAAAAGTTTTCAAACTTTTTCGATTCGTAAGTTTATTTAATGCATATTCATTCTTCCATGTAATTTGAAATTTAAAACTTTTATAGCTTTGCCTAAATTGTAATATCAATCAAGTCTAAAGGTCAATTGTCAAAATTTTCAGACAAATGCTATATATAATTTTATTATAGGTAAGAATTATCGAACATAATTAGTTCCAGTGCTTAGTTAAGGCCCTTAAACGATCATAGCTATGCCAAGATATTGTCAGATTTATTTAGACTTAATCAAAATGCAAATAAAATTATTTTTCAATTTTTCTCGCTCAACATTTTTGAACTAAGCATATCCAATTTATTTTATTCTTTTGTAACTTCATCATCTTAAATCAACTTTAATAACAAATAATATTTTCCACCTTAATTTTTACTCTGCACTTAAATTGAAAAATATACAACTGGATCAAAACACTTGAGCAAGTTCTTTAGAAAACAAATTTCAAAACTCTATAACTCTGTTAAATACGCTTCAATATTAATAGGTATATCCTTAAAGCTATCCATCGATTCTTCATTTAATTTGAAAATTTCAAAAATGTTTTGAAATTTCTTCTAAAATTTTCAAATCCTTACAAACTTGCACTACCTGATCTAAATTGAACCCATTTTTTGTTTGCTTTTACACTCTAGCATTCAAATTTTAATCTACAATTCTTAATATAATTTTAACATTTTTGTGACCAAATTTTTTTTTTTTCAAAATTTTTGTCAATATTTTTATGGCTAAAATTAGACAAAAAATTTTAAAAGCTTAACTGATTAAAGAGCTGGATTCATTTTACTTTTGTTTATTATTTTTATGAAATTTAATATTTAATCTATAATTAAGTATATAATTTGTATATGTTTCTTATTACAGCTTCAACTCCAGCCTCTCCATTCCAACTCCAAGTGGAACTCTCTTTGGTCTTCTTCACTGAAATTCCTGGCTCGCCTTTAAGGTTTCGTTTTGTTTTTGTTTTTGTTTTGTTTTGCTTTGTTTTTTCTCATTTTTTGTATTCTTTTTTTGTGCTTTGCTCGCAACTCGTCTGCGACTTTGGCTACGTCTGCAACTTCGGCTGCGTCTTGGACTTTTTCTTGGTCTGTGACTTGCTCTTCTATCTTGGCCTTTGTCTGAGTGCCGCTGATGCTGCTGCTGCTGCTGCTGCTGTTGCTGCTGTTGTTGCAGCTTGTTGTTGTTGCCGGTTCGTTCGTTTGTTAAATGTTTGGGTTTTGTTTGAGTTTATTGAGAGAATTCCTGGAAAAACGCAAGAATTTGTCTTTGGCCGCTGAGTTTTTTTCTTGTTTTGTTTTGCGCTCTGGTGCGGCGACTGCTGCTGCTGCTGCTGCTGGTTGCT